GATGCTGATTTCCACTATGGGCTGTTGGTTTTTGAGAATACTGCAGGGCTGGAGAGAAAGTGATGGAAACACAGCAAGTTGAACCACCCCAAAGCTCACCATTCTTGACAAGGTCAGCAGTGTTCATGAACATTCCCCAGATTATTGTCTCTTGTTTTCCCCAGAGTTCCAAACCAGTTGGTTTATACAAATTTGTCAGAGTACTTCTTTCCTTAGGGAGCAGGAGATCTTTGGAGATCCTTGCTACGTTATTTCTGTTGACCAGCGCTTATATATATGTTTTGGAGGAAAAGCATATTCTATGGTTACCCCGAGGGCATACAGCTGTTCTTCACACAAAAAAAACTTAAATGAATGTAAAGAAACTTTTCTAGGCCTTCATATCTCCACGTCTTGTATATTGAGAAGCCTTATAACTAGGTTTTTGATGACTTCTCCAAATTTTATTGCACCTGGCATTGAAAACAGGATATTAGGAAAGAGCATGGATGAGAGTTATTTTTACTCTTTTGAATTCAATCTGTTCACCATCACCCTGGTTTGGTGATTGAAGCATGTGTGTGTGTGTGTGTGTGTGTGTGTGTGTATAATATATATATATATATACACACATACATATGTATATATGTATACACATTATACACATAATATATATGTATATTTTATATATATAAAATATATAAATATATATATTCCACAATATGGATATACATGGGTATATATCTCACATATATCCATATTGTCCATAATGGTATTTATTTTCACATGGCTGTAATTAATTTTTAAGGTAAATTTTGCTTATATGATTCAGAGAGTCTCAGAAAAAATCAATGCTTGGGCACATTTATAAATAATCTTCCTGTGATCATTGTGCTTTCATAAAGTGAAAATTAACCTGAAAATATCTAATATTAGTTTTGTATAATGATACCAGAGATTTATTTTTTTTCAAAGGCCTCAATAAAAGACTTTTACACTTAAGAGGAAAAAAAATTTAGTTTCCAGACTTAAAATAAACTCTCTTTCATTTTTTTTCCCATAACGGAGAATTTTCCAGTAGCCGCTTAAACGTTATCTTTGGTAACTGACTTGTACCTAACAATGCTTGGCCCTCTGCAAATTAATATTTATTTGATTCTCTATCTACCTCTGAAATAATGTATTAGTTTTCTAGAGCTACCATATCAAACTACCACAGACTGGACTGCGTAAACAATAGTCTATTTTCTCACACTTCTGGAGGGTGAGTAGTCTGAGGTCTCGGTGTGGATGGGATTGATTCCTTCCATGGTCTCTCTTCTTGGCTTGTAGACGGCAGTCTTCTCCCTGTGTCTTCACATGCTTATATCTGTGCCCTATTCTCTTCTTATAAGGACACCACCCCTGTTGGGTAAGGCCTAGTTTAAATACCTCGCATTGATTAATTACCTCCATAAAACCCCATCTCCAAAAAGTCCCCCTATGAGGTATTACAGTGCCATGATTTCAACATATTAATTTTGAGTGAATGCAATTCAGTCCAAAACAGCTAATTACTTGCTTGTCTGGCAATGAAATCTTCCCACATGATATGTATGATTAAAGGCCACCAACCAACTTGCTTAACATTTGCTTCTCAGGCACATGACTTGATCTTTCAGAATAACCATAACTTTTGGAATATGGTTCAGGATTACATTGCCCAAGTTCTTACCTCCCTACTAACACAGACTTCAGGATAAAAATAAAACTGTTTGGGTGGCTAGGTGGCTCAGTCGGTTAAGCATCCAACTCTTGATTTTGGCTCAGGTTATGATCTTACAGTCTGTGGGATTGAGGCCTGCATTAGCTCCATGCTGACAGTGTGGAGACTGTTTGGGATCCTCTCTCTCTCTCTCTCAAAATAAATAAATAAACTTGAATAAATTAAAAATAAAACTGTTAACTGGAGCAGTTTACTGTTCTGTGTAAATTATTTTTAAATATAATATAATTATAAGCCTTCTTCAAACTGGCAACACTAATCTCATGCTGCTTTAATCATGAATAAGATTTATTTTTCAAAAGATTTTGATTTGATAATATTTAATGCTTTGTTGCACAAGGCAGAGCTGCTAAGATAATTAGAAGTGAGTTTAGGCTTCAGATGAGGGGGTGTGGGAAGTACATCAATAGGACAGGGTTATGTTCCTTGTGAAAAAGAGACATATAAGATGAACTCACATTCACAAAGGATTTCTTCCAGAAGGTATTTCCAAGAAGTGGCTATAGCTATAGAGACTATACAGAAAGATATATTCTTGCTGGGTGTAAGGAACAGAGATTGGAGTTACCGAAAATAAGAGAACGGGGAATGACGTTGGCATGAAGATGTGGAAGAGGAAGGACTTATGTATGAGGAGTCCCCAGAATATGTGCAGGACTTTTTCTCAAGCATGTCTTAGCCCTAAGGTCCCTGGATGCCAAAACCTAACGAAGAACAGTGGCTGAGATGCCAGAAGATGTGGACAGCTGAGCAGGACTGAACATACTTCACGACTTGCAAAATATCCAGGTTTGCTGGAGTTACAACCTAGCCAGGATGGAGATATATTCATAAAGACCTTGCTTGGGACACAAAAATGATGCCTGGGCAGTAAGGGTAACACTGAAATAAGGCAGTTTTTTAGCAAACTTAAAACAGAGAAACAAGGTGATCTTCAACAAATTTAACTGCTTATTCAGGGAAAACCAAAATGTATCAATAACCTTTATAAGAGTATGACAAATGTATAGCTTCTGAAATGCATCAGTTAACACGCGAAAAAGCAGGGAAACATTATCAATAAGCAAAAGGTAAAATAGTCAACAGTAGGGGTCCCAGATATGATAGATAATAAAGTTACAAGTAAAAACTCAAATAAGTATAATTTCATTGCTACTAATTAAGAATATTAATCTAACCACAAAAGAATAAATTCCTTATTTTGATTCTGCTGTTTAGAAGAAACAGACTTGATACATGTGAATGTATGGGCAAACACATATACATATATAACTTATATATGTATATATATGTATATATATATATATATGCACCAAATGTAGATATGTATAAAATGCTGTAATTCTGAATTGTATTTCTCCATGTACTTTTAAAATATTTATTATTTCTTTAAAGATTTGAGATTGCAAAAGAAAAACTATGAGTCATTTCATACTTCCTAAATTATTATCTTGGCATTTTCCATCACATAAAAGGCTACATTTTGCAAAATTCCTGCTTCTTTTCTGGTACAGTAAACTATCTCATTTATAGTTTACTATAGTTTACTATACTACGGTCTCTTTATAAGTCATAGTCCTTTTTCTTTAAAGAGATAATGTCTGTAGTGGATAATATTAATAATTACCTTTTATTGAACTCTTATTACAATGCATGGATACTGCTAAGCATTTTCCATGTAGTATTTCCTCTTACAGACCTATGAGCTTAGTATTAGTGAACTCATTTTACCCACAATAAACCTAAATTCCAAAGAATCTCAGTATACTGTAAAAGTTTGCACACCTGCCAATTGGCAGAACTTTGTAAAAACCCAGGTCAAGGGGTGCCTGAGTGGCTCAGTTGGTTGAGCATTCAACTCTTGATTTTGGCTCTGATCATGATCCCAGGATTATGGGATCAAGCCCATTCTTGATCTCTCTCTCTCTTCCTCTACCCCTCTCTCTCTCGTGCATACTCTCCATCTAAAATTCAAACAACAACAATAGCAGCAGCAGCAGCAGCAGCAGCAACAGAATACCCCAGCTCTATCTGAACTCACAATCATGTGTTTCCAACCTTTGGTCATACAGTAATGTCTGCATAACAGATGTCCTTGCAAAAGGACTATTTTGAAGACAGAAGTTCATATATTTTCCTCTTTAAAACACTTCTCACCAAAAAAAAGCACCTTATTCTAAAAGTTGTATATTTGCCTTTTATACAATTTAGGGATATGGCAGATTTAATTTAGTATATAATTCGAGAAAAGAATTGAAAAGGTCTCTTTATATATTCTTTCCCACTCTTTCTTAACTAGTTTCTATCACTTCATAACTAAGTACTGGAATTTCTGTTTGAGTAAGCTGGTTATTTAACTTACTTCAAATCTCTTAATTCAAAATCAAATTACTCCTGATAATTTATAGTTGAAGTATCAGTCATCAACTAGTCATCACAAAAGTCACAGTCTGTTCTCATTTACTGGGAAATTTTCTCCAAGTGTTGGTCATTTCCCATCAGAGACCATTGACCCAACCAATGAGGGAAAATGGAGAGTTCTTTCAAGAGCTCTTAATGACTTCCATTCTGCTCTCTTCTCCTCCATGATCTCTCCACATCCATTCCCCAAGCAGAGAAAATGAGTAAAAGGGAAAGCTCAAATATGTCCATGTATTTACTAGCCTGACATCCTTTGTGGTTTTCTTGTTGTTGGTAGTGGCATCACAGTTATATTTTTCATTCTCTATCCCATGAAGCAATGGCTCATACTCTCCCCAATTAAATTGATTATGCCTTAGAAAGCATTACTATCACAGGAATTTATACAGGGATTGTATTTTAATGGTAGAACTATTTTTGAAAGAGGTGACAACTGCTTGATTTCAAATATTGAAATTACTATGTTAATAATCTCTCCTAATTGCTGTATCTTAAACATTCTGCCAATACCTTCCTTTATTTATAAAATGTTGTCTGAGTCCTGATTGTAGAAAAATATACAAATTTATTTCCTTTTATTCAGAATATTTCACATAATTATATTAAAAGTGTGTCCACTATGCAGCTGGTCAGAAATTATTTTCATTTTCTTGTGCAGCACTGACTTTCAATGCCAGAGGAAGGAACACAAAATAGGCTTTCTTGGGGGGGAGTGCTATAAAAATATGAAGATGAAAAGGATGATCTAGACCATATTTATGAATCCTGGTAAATATTGGATGAGATGATTTCTCAGGTCCCTTTAAACTCAGTTGTTTTATTATTCTGCAGAGTTTCATGAAGTTCTCTCTTTTTCAAGCTTCCTTTTCAGAGCATCTTTGACTTCTTTGTTCCTCAGACTATAGATCAGAGGATTGAGCATGGGATTGAAAAGGCTGTGAAACAGGAGGAGGTATTTCTTCTGCTCCTTGGGGTTCCCATATCTGGGCCCAACATACATTATGATGGCTGTGCCGTAGAACAGTCCAACCACACACAAGTGGGATGTGCAGGTGGAGAAGGCTTTCTGGCGCCCCTCCCCTGATTGAATCTTTAGGATGGCACATAAAATATAAATGTAAGATATCACAATTGAGGAGAATGGTCCCACCAACACAGACACTGCCCCAGCCAAAACCATAATTTCATTAATGTGGGTATCTGCACAGGCAAGTTTGAGGACAGCTATAATTTCACAAAAAAAGTGGTTCACTTTCTGGGGTCCACAGAAGGGCAATGGTATGAGTAACAGTAGATGTACTAGAGCTAGGAGAACTCCTAAAATCCAGGAAGTCACCACCAGGCTGATGCAGACTCTCCAGCTCATGATGACAGAATATCGGAGCGGGTGACAGATGGCCACATAACGATCACAGGACATCACCACCAGGAGAAGACATTCAATGTGAGCAAAGCTCAAGAAGAGAAAGGTCTGTGTCAGGCAGCCCGCAAAGGAGATGGGCTGGTCTGGCTTCAGGAGGTTTACCAGCATCTGGGGCACCGTGTTGCAGGCATAGGCTATGTCGACGACGGCCAGGTGGGAGAGGAAGAAGTACATGGGGGTGTGCAGTCTGGAGTCCAGCGAGATGACCCCCAGGATGAGCCCGTTCCCCAGCAGGGTGAAGGCGTAGAACAGGGAGAAGAGCCCAAAGAGAAGCATCTGAATCCTTGGACCGAGACAAAATCCTAGCAGAAGGAACTCTGTGACAGAGGTCTGATTTCTCCCCATTTCCGTGTGAAAGAGACAGTGGAGCTCACTGAGCCTGAATGCCTGAGGGAAGGGTTTCAACATGATGGATCTGTGCATGTCATTGTTTATTTCCTAAGAAAACATCTTCAAGGACACTTTTGTCCTATTAGTCACTTAATAAGTGAAAACTATGCATTCCAAATGAAACAGAAGAAAACGTTTTCACTGCAATAAGCTAAATGCTAATATTCTATTATAGTATTCAGTAGATCTTATGTTTATTTCCAGAACAACTTTCATCACGGTTCAAAATGTTAATACTTAAATTGTCTGTATAAGAGTGGGTACTTCACTCTGATTGGAATGGTTCTATCAGAGGTTTGCCCATGCATATTCCCAGATTGCAGTGTACATATATCCGTACATGTGAATGTGTACTGATGTCTCTTACCTAGAATATATCTAGAATATGAGGATGGGAAGAAGGATAAGGTGAATATCAGAAAACTTTCCATCAGGTTTTCTCATGAATTTTTGCCTTCAGCATACTAATTATTTATTAGCCTTGTGATCTTTACTGACAGCATAATCTTGAACAAAGTGAGAGAAGGCAGGCTGTTTGCAACAACTTTGGCCAGATTTCAAATGGAGACCTTTGTCCTTTGACTTTTGTATCTACGAATGTTCTATTCTGATTGTGCTATCTAATCATCAGTATGTTACCCCGTCACTCTTCTTATAGTCTATGTTATATTTACATTCTGTATCTATCTACCTACCTATCTATATTTCTACACTAATTTATACTTGAGTTTTTTCCAAATATTTTGCCACATCCTACAGTAAGAATTATCTACTAGGTACATACATGCATTAGTATATATACTCTTGAGTCTTTATTACGTGCAGTGTATTTTCTATATTATTCTATTCTATTTAATTAGTAAGAATTTTGGTTAGGGGATTCCTGGGTGGCTCAGTCAGTTCAGTATCTGACCCTTAATTTCAGCTCAGGTCATGATCTCCCAGTTTCATGAGGTCTAGCCCCACATTGGGCTCTGTGCCCTTCCACATGGAGCCTGCTTGGGATTCTCTCTCTCCTTCTCTCTCTGGCCCTGCCCCTGTGCTCTCTCTGTCTCTCTCAAAATAAATAAATAAACTTAAAAAAATTCTTTTAATGCCAGTTGAGTGATTTCATGGTGGGTCATAGCCTGGGACTTAAAAAGTACTGTCCATATCCAAGGCTAGAGCAAGAGCCCTAATTATAGCTTCCTATTCATAGACGTATTAACATATTTTAAAGCTTCTTAACTCTATGTGAAAAGATAATTATTATTTATCATGAATCTTTCATTTTTTGTGGCATAGTAAATTTTAAAAAAATCTTTCCACAACACAGCAGGTACTCTGAAATTGGAATCATTGTAACTTTTAAGCCACTGCTGTTTCCTTGCCTGTCTGACTCCGTACCTTTCTTCAGTCCAGAACCCATCTGAATTTCACTCAAATAAGAATCCTAGAAAAACTCATAATCCAGTTATTATCGGTTCCCTATTCAACTTTTCTGTTAAGTTAGTATTTGAAAGGTTTCATAGGCAAAAAAGTGAGTAGCCTTTTGCCCTGCTTTAAAGACAGAATCAGAATTCAGAGTAGAAATTATTGAAGGATGATTTCATGTTAGGTCAAAAAATAACTATAACAATTGGAATCACCTCCTTGGAAGCTGGTTGCTTAATGGACCTAAACTTTAGGTCAGTGAATATTTTAAATCAGAAGTTGATAAACCATCCATTCAAGATGGGATTCCTGTGTTATGTTACAAGTTGACTCAGGGGGCGCCTGGGTGGCTTAGTCAGTTAAGCGTCCGACTTTCGCTTAGGTCATGATCTCACGGTTTGTGGGTTCGGGCCCGCGTCGGGCTCTGTGCTGACTGCCAGCTCGGAGCCTGGAGCCTGTTTCGGAGTCTGTGTCTCCCTCTCTCTCTGACCCTCCCCTGCTCACGCTGTCTCTCTCCTCTCCTAGAAATAAATAAAAAACATTAAAAAAAAAAAAAAACAAGTTGACTCAGAAGAGTGCTAAGGTCCCTTCCAACTAAACGATTCCTTGGCCCCAAATGTGTAGGAAAGTGTTAGCCATTTCCACTTTGACTTTCTTGTCATATTTGGAGCCAATGAAGATAACAATGCTGTTTCTAAAAATTCACATGATGAAGGCACACATCAAAGCAAAGTAGAAGGACCAATCTTCCTCCTACCTACAAATAGCTAAAAGACAAAATATAAAATCCACACATATTTACTAATATGTCCTGCTCCATGACTCAGCTGAGGGCATGTAAGATGGTTCCTGTAACCTGATTGGAATGGCAGCACTATTAAAAATATCCACAAAGATGGTAATTCTTAGATTTCAGTAACTCACCACAAGAAATTTCACATTCAGAAAGAAAACCTTCAGGACACTCTTCTGTAACAAACTCATTTTTGGGTGCCACTTAAGTTCATGAGGCAGTAGAAATGTCTGCAAGCAAACCTCTCAAATAGCTGTTATGATGTAAACAAGAAACTCAACTTTGGGTACCTGGGTGGCTCAGTTGGTTGAGCTTTGGACTCTTGATTTCAGCTCAGGTCATGATCTCACAGTTCATGGTTGCAAGTCTCTATCAGGCTCTGTGCTGACAGCTC